CCTTTATACTTGATTTTTCTTGACGCAAATGTAGTCGGAATTGTTTCCTTGATTTCTTTTGGGAGTTACTTACTTCTAGTATATAAACATATATTTGATTTTTGTACATTGATCATGTATCCTGTAACCCTGCTGAACTCCTTCATTAATTTTTGTAGTGTTTTAGTGGACTTTTTAGATTTTCTATATCTAGAAGCATGTCATGTGCAATAGAGATGGTTTTACTACTTTTAGGATCTATATGCTTTTTATTTCTTTTTTCCTAATTAATTTCCCTAGCTATAATCTCTAGTACAACATGAACTGAAGTGGCGAGACCAGACATCTTTGTCTTATTCATGATCATAGAGGGAAAGCATTCAGTCTTTTCCAATTAGATATGGTATATTAGATGTGGGCTTTTCATAAATAGTATATTTTTAGGTTGAGGAAGTTCCCTTGTCTTTCTGTTTTTTGAGTTATTATTTTTTTAATCATGAATCATGGTTGGATTTTTTCGAGCACTTTTCCACATCTACTTAGATAATCATGTGGGTTTTGTTTAATGTATTGATATGGTGTATTAAATTAATTGATATTTGAGTGTTAAACCAACTTTTAATTCCTGGGATCAATCCCATTTGGCCACGATGTATAATCTTTTTGTTATGTTTCTGGATTCTGTTTGCTAGCATTTTGTTGAGGATTTGTGCATCTGTGTTCATTTGATATTACTCTGTTGTTCTCAGAGCCCTTTTGACATAGCTTGGTATGTCTCTGATTTCTTAAAGCACCTGTGTTCCTTCAGACGGTACATTTAAAATAACAGCCAACGTACCTGAGTGGCTCAGTCGGTTAAGTGTCCACTTTCCGCTCAGGCCATGATCTCATGGTTCATGAGTTTGAGCCCCACATCAAGCTCTGCACTGACAGTGCGGAGCCTGCTTCGGATCTTCTATCCTCCTCTCTCTCAACCCCTCCTCACCCACCCCTCTCAAAAGTAAACATTTAAAAATTACTTTAATAAATAAAAAAATAAAATAACAGCCAAATGTTAAAATTTGTAAAGATGGCCTTAAGGTAATTGCACTGAAATATTTTTAATGATGATAGCTTTTTTCCCCACTTGGTGTTTACTTCAGTTTGAAAACAGTATGTCTCTTTCTGTTTGCCAGATGTCCTATGAAATCTGTTCTTTCCTTCTCTAAAGCTTACCAGGTTGATATACAGAATTTATAAATTAGAACCCACATCCCCAGCTTCCAAACACAAGACATTAAACAGGGCAAGAAATTTATCTGGTTGACCATTCGATGAGCTGTAATTCTCTTTAAAATAGAAGCTTTGCTGCCTTGACCTTGTCTTTCACATTAATGTAAAAGTACCCATTCCTGGAGAATACGGAAGAACACCAAGGTTATGCAAAACCAGAAAATAAATCTTTTACTAAAAAATCAGCTTTTAGAAAATGAAGAATAGATGAGTGTGGGAAAACGTTTTATATTAAAACAGAAAATATTGTTTTATATGGGAAAATACAAAATATGCAGCGATGTTTAAGCTGAAATGTAAGACTTTGAAGAAATTAAGTACTTTTGGCACAATTTTCAGTTCAACCGTGAAGAATATGAAGGATAATGAATATCCTTCATTATCTAAGGATATAAATTATTTTCTATTGATAGATAAGAGTACATTTTGTGGAGGTTTAAAAAAATTTTTTTAATGTTTATTTGTGAGAGAGAGAGATAGAGTGTGAACAGGGGAGGGGCAGAGAGAGAGGGAGAGAGAGGGAGAGAGAGGGAGACATAGAAGCCAAAACAGGCTCCAGGCTCTGGCTGTCAGCACAGCCTGATGTGGGGCTGGAACTCAGGAATAGTGCGATCACGACCTGAGCTGAAGTTGGACTCTTAACCAACTGAGCCACCCAGGTGCCCCTATTTTGTGGAAGTTTTTAAGGAATACTCTGAGGTGTTAAATAAATGCCAAAAATGGTGATTTCTTCATGAACAGACTGTTGTCCTCCTTGTTAATAATTAACAAACCACACTGGGACTATTCTCTTGTCCAGTTGTAACTTTTTAATCCTATTAGTCAAATATTTCCCTTCCCTATGTTTAGATTCACATTTTCTTAATTAACTTATTGCTATACTCCATATGAGATAAAGGATTAGGTCTTTTTATGTTACTTTGTGGTCTGTGAATGCTTTGATGAAAAATGTAGATCATGATACCAGATATTTTCTTGTATGTATTCCTCAAGGGAAATATTATTGAACATAAATTAAACAAGAAGACAGATTTCAGAGTGGGTATCAAATCTGGAGGCTGTTTTATTGGTAATTCCTCTGCACTTAAAGGTTGTATTAATATATGTGCTCATATTAACTAGGTTAATAGGCCACAAAGAAGCCGTACATATCTTTAGATAGGCCTAGAGAAGAAGTGTTGTCCTTTGTGCTTAACACAGCTTAAGTGTATAGTCTTCCAGAGCATAATAATTGCTAAAGAGTAGTCTTATCATAGCAGCAAACAGAAAAGATTAAAATGAAAAAGCCCTGTTTAAGTAGTATAGCAACACATTTTATTAAACATACTCCTAAATTTTGAAGAGTGATTTTTCTGCATAGAGTACCTTAAGTTTTGGGGAAAGCTTATTGTGGGCTCTGGCATTATGAGACATATGTATAAGCATTTCTGCCCTTACTGATCCTTAGACTTTTCATGGATCTCCTTCAGATCTGACAAAGGAAGTAAGTAAATGTTGGTAAATACCTATATGTTCTGACCTGGCAGGCTCTAGAGATAATGTCTTTGTTTAGTTTAATGTTAAGGTAAATTTGGCATTCTACCTTTTTAATATTTCTCTTAATCTACTTTCTCTCATCCTATGGCTATAACTTTTGCCTAGATTATAGTATTGTATTCCTTGTACCTTAACCAAATGTTTGAGAACTTCTTTCTTATTCCTTTACAAATGCTCTCCATGTTTATGAAGGACACATATACAGTATCAGGATATTTAGAGTATAGCGAAGGAAATAATAGAACTTTAGCTCAAGAGAATTTTAAAAAATGCCTGATCTAGTCTAGCTTTTTTTCTTTATGAGGAAGAATAATGATGTTCAGAGAAATAAGCACAGTTTTCCAATGTCTCCATGTATACATGATTTTCTACTTTATACCTTGGGAGTTTACCTGATTTGGAACCGTTTTTTGACAAAAATGTTTCAGAAGCTGGTTGACAGATTGAAAATTTGGGTGGTAGAAATAGTTAATGGTTCAAATGTTTGACAATTCTAGAAAAACTGAGAGGTGGCGGGATTACTGTGAAAGATAGTGCAAGTGTGCTTGACAGTGACGACAACAAAGGGGAAGGCCCTGGAAAGGGATGGCAACAATGGAGGCAAGTTAACCTGAGACCAGAGGATAAATCGTCATCTTGTGTTTATTTGTTTAGTTGTCTGGATTCCTTGTACTTGTAATCAATTTTAGAGATTACCCTCATAGAAGGAAGGGCCTGAATCCCATTCATGGGCCCAATAGTATGCTGAGCATGAATAATAGGAGTTGGGAAAATGATTTTAATGTCATGATGAGGAAGAAGAAATAAACCTATTTTTTTGTACACTATTGTGTGTCGTGCACTTTCACACAAATTATTCAAAGATGAGATGCAATCAACTCAAACATTCAAAATTCTAATTTTCATTCTGTTATCTCATTGATTTCAAGTAGAGCGGGGGTCTAGAAGGAAGTAAATTTAGGAGCCCAAAGGAATCCCTGTGGATCTCACTTACACATATTGCTGTATGATCTTGTAGGATAAATGTTTTGGAGGAATAAGCACCAGTAGCAGAACTCAGGGCTAACATCTCTGTGCACAGAGTAACATGAAAATTAGGGCTGTCGTTTTAAGATAAGTTTTCACTGCCCCTCCCCCACACCTGCTGTGTGTGTCTCTCTCAAAAATAAATAAACATTTTTAAAAATTTTTTTAAAAAGAGGGTGGGGGCGGTTCCTGGGTGGCTCAGTCGGTTAAGCATCCAACTTCTGCTCAGGTCATGATCTCAAGGTTTGTGGGTTCAAGCCCTGTGCTCGAGCTCTGTGCTGACAGCTCAAAGCCTGGAGCCCACTTCAGATTCTGTGTCTCTCTCTTTCCCTCTGCCCCTACCCCACTCCTGCTCTGTCTCTCTCTCTCTCTCTCTCTCAAAAATAAACAAACATTAAAAAAAAAACTAAGATAAGTTTTAATGTTGTTGCTGATTAATTGGGGTTTTTAAATGATTTCCTCCCTCTGCTCTTGTCAGAAACCATCACCTCTTTCTGGTAGGATTGAGTTGGAATACTTTTCAGTTAAACATTAAGGATACAGATTTTTTTTGGTCAGTTTTTTTTTTTTAACACTTTTTAATTCTTTTTGTACTAAGAATAATTGTAATGTAAACCTTTTTTTTAAGTTAATACCCTCTTTTTATTCCAGTCTAGTTATTTATATGCTACTGAGGAATGCAAGGTATCAGTTCCAAGGAAAAGAGTAAAATTGCCTATGTATATTTAATGAAGTGTTTAAGAGATATATAGATTGTTTATTTCATTGACAGGATTTATATAAAAATATTAAAAAGATCCGAATCAAAATAAAGTGATTGTGCCTGTTTTGATAAGAAATGAAACTGTGTTTTAAAAATTGAATATTTTCTGTCCTGGTTGCAACTGGGAGCCTATTTTCTATTTAGGACTTTCCACATTTAAGATACTTCTGATGACTGGGAACATTTTTGATATAAAAATCATGTTCATATTTTATTACAAAGGTATGCACGATTGCCTCATGAAAGGTTAATTTAAAAAAACAAAAAAGAAAAAGCAAAGAGTATCCCTGAAGATACTGAAGAGTATCCCTGAAGAAATCAGCACACTTCTGGAAGAAATCTAGTTTTGGTAAATGACAGCTATATGCACATATTTTATCTCATCCTCACAGGCATTTTCTTTCCATTTTTGTATTTCTTTCAGAGTAAGTGAAGAAAAGGAAGTGACAGAAGAACGACTCCGAGCTGAGCAGGAATCATTTGAGAAGAAGATCAGGCAGTTGGAGGAACAGAATGAACTGATCATCAAAGAAAGGGAAGATATCCTTTTTGAAAGTCCTCTTTTTTAATGTGCAGAGAGTTTGACTCTTTCATGAAGAAAACGTAAAACTCCAGAGAAATAATTGTTCTAATTTATAACAGGGAATAAATCTGCATGGGCTGCCATTTTTAGGCAATCAAAATGACACTTAACAGCATGTGCTGTTGCTTCCTTTGTGCTTGATACGGCCACCCAGCTGTTCTGCTGCTGCTGTTACACTGCGGAGCACAGATTTGTCAACTAAAAAAGACAATAAGATGTTTGGCTTTAAAATGTAGTGTTGGAACTTTCCTAAATTCTGTTCCACTACTGCAGTTGAGCCTGAAACCTCTTTGTGTTTGGTATTCTTTCCAGCTAAAGCTTTGGCAGCCCTAAGGAATTCTACTCTGAAATCATAAAAATAATAAATAATGATAAAAAAATCCATTGTAATTTGTAGGTGTTATAATTGATAGGTGTTTACACTACAGCATAACATCACCAAAATTCTCATGGAGGAGAAGACTATCGGGTCTAGAACTAGAGAGAGGTGTGTGTGTGTGTGTGTGTGTGTGTAATATAAATACTGCATTATTTGTAAGATACTAAAATAACTTTCAACTTAAGAATTGTACTTTAGGGAATATGTGAGTTAAAATAAGCATGTTTCTGAAGTTTCTTTCGACTGGGTGGAATTACTTATCTTTAGGTGTTTTTGCAGTGGCATTGATATATAAGAGAAGTGACTGTCCCTAAAACTAGGCTGATGGATCAGCCAGCTAACCTAGTATATGACTACTTGAAGGGACCAGTGTCCTTCCTGTCAATATCATCAGTAACTTGATCATTAATAATTATTTCAAAGACTCTTCAAGTGTCAAAAATAATCATATATGGACAGTAACTATACCCTTGTGAATACCAGGGAAATAGAAGTGTGAAGATAAATTAATTCACTGGGGGAAAAGCATAAAAATGTAACTGTAAAAGCTGAGTTCTTAACTTCTGTTCTTCTAACAGTGAGAATACATCATTAGAAATTAATCAGAATTTTCAGATTTGATTTGCTGAGTAGAGCATTTTTAAGTTTATTTCCCCACAATCTAGTGGTATACTTTTTCCAGTTATTTACTTTCTGTTTCTTTAGCATTTGCATAATCATCTTGGCTTTTCTCTTTTCTTTGCCTTCATTGACTTTATTGTACCTAGGCTGTCAACTCAGGCTCGACCCTCTTTTGTGATTTTCCTCCTGCTACTTTTCTCTCCCTGGTTAAAGTTAGTGCCATTTGGTCAGAATTTATAACAAACTGTGCTCAGCCACTTTGGGTCCTTCACTTCTTGCAAGGAGTAGTGACTCAGGACTTCCAAGAAAAGGTAGATTAGGAATATTCTCATTTGTAACAAAAATTCACTTTACAGGGTCTATTTTTTCCCATGTAACCACTCTGGAGATAAGTGGCTTCTGGCATTGTTTCAGTGGCTTAAAATTTTCAGCACTGGATCTCTACAGTTCTCTTAGTTTCTTCTAATGGTTGCAGAATGTCAGCTTGTAGAATGTTTGCTCTAATTCCAGATATCAGAGTTGCTCTAAGGCAGGGAGAAAGTGAGGAGGAAGGAATTCTGGCAGTTGTGACTCCAGCTCCTTTTTTAAAAAAATGTAAAATTTTTCTCAGGGTACTGCCCCTGGTGCCCCCTCACCTCCCTTCCCTCCTGCCCCCACCACCGGCAGTCTTTCATGAGATATTTATTGTCCTGAACTTTATTATATGGCCATGCTAAGCTGCGAGAAGGGCTGAGAAAGTAAGCATTTAACCTGTCCAGTTTATAGAGTGAAAGGCAGCAAGGGAGAAGGGGAATTGGGCATGAAGTCAGCCTTCAACTGTATCTGGTAACAGAATAAGGGAAACAGAAACCACTTTATATTTAGTAGGGGGGAGATGATGATGCCTTGGCCTTCCTGGAACAACAACAACAACAAAATCAGTATTGTGTCCAGTGGAATTGGGGTGAGTTGGGGAAATAAGGTGAGAAAGGGAATCAAGGTGAGAAGGTTTGAAAGCCTGACCTCAGTTAGGGCCTCATTTATCTGGTAATATGCTTAACCAAATGTGTGGCTTTCTGAAAAGTAAAATCTAATTTCGGTGGACTATTATATTTTAGCACTCTTTGGATCAAGATTAATGGATTTAGTGCCTAAGTCTAAACTCAGCATGGCTATGAGTGTTTTTTTTTCGTCAGCCTAAGTAGTAAGATACCTCAGGTGATTGTAGTAGCACAATTTGTCCTATTTTTCCCACGACTTAGCTCAGGAGTCAGTTAACTACTGCCATGGGCCAAATCCAGTAGGTGCCAGCTAAATCTAGCCCTGCCCATTCATTTATGTATTATGTATAGCTGCTCTTACGGCTCCAGCTGCAAGCTGGGTGGGTGCAACAAAGACCCTGTGGCCCGCATAGCCTAAAATATTTATTTCTGGTTCTCTACAGAAAAGCTTGCTGGGGCACCTGGGTAGCTCAATCGGTTGAGTGTCTGACTCTTGACTTCAGCCCAGGTCATGATCTTGCGGTTGCTGAGTTTGAGCCCAGGGTCAGTGCAGAGACTGCTAGGAATTCTCTTTTTCTCCCTCTTTCTCTGCCCCTCCCCTGCTCACTCTCTTTCTCTCAAAATAAATAAGTAAACTTAAAAAAAAATTTTGCTGACCTCTGATCTGTCTGATAACCTAAAAAGGAAAGGAAAAGGCATGTAAATAAGTCCAAGACTTAGACGGATGTCATAGTTGGATCTATAAAAAGGATTTGACTTGAGCATTTATTATTATTGCGAATGAAGATTGGAGCAAATGTTAGACCATTATCAAAAATCAAAATGGTTTAGTTAATATAATTGGTTTAAGATTTTTTGAATCACCAAAAGATAAGGTGGTATTTGTAGTTGTCAAAGAAGGGAGAAAGGAAGACATGATTGTTTTGTTTTGTTTTGTTTTAATACAAAATGATGGAAGAATAACAGGAAACATCATATACATGGTAATTCAGTATGAAAAGTTGAGATAATTTAAGACCTTGAAAGTTTTGACCTTCATATATCCTGAGGTTTTATGTTATTTACTAATGCTCTTTGTTTTTAAAATTTTTTATTTTTTATTTTTTATAATTTACATCCAAATTAGTTAGCATTTGGTGCAATAATGATTTCAGGAGTAGATTCCTTAGTGCCCCTTACCCATTTAGCCCCTCCCCCCTCCCACAGCCCCTCCAGTAACCCTCAGTTTGTTCTCCATATTTATGAGTCTCTTCTGTTTTGTCCCCCTCCCTGGTTTTATATTATTTTTGTTTCCCTTCCCTTATGTTCATCTGTTTTGTCTCTTAAAGTCCTCATATGAGTGAAGTCATATGATTTTTGTCTTTCTCTGACTGACTAACTTGGGAAGATAGGATTTAAAAACAGCGACACCCATGGTTTTTATTCCAAGTAGATTGCTCAGGTGCCAAATCTCCTTTACTAGCATAAACCTGTCAAAGGTTAATATGGACAATTTTACAGTACATAAAACCCTATGAAACTTAGAAACATAAAACAAGGTTATAACTTAAAACAATATAATTTTAACTACAGATACATTTACCTATCATACATGAATGATTCAGACTCTTTCATATACATGAAATCATATAATTTTAGATCATTTTGCAGTCTGTTTCTGTGTTAGGAACTATATCAATTCTTATTTTTGGAATTTTAAAATGTGTTCTACTAAATTTATAGGGGTTTTGTCTTAAAAGTTCTAATAACTTGATTTATGGCATTATATGAACACAGACCCTTAGTGAAAAAGAGAAAAGATATTTTACATGTTTGCATTTGGACCAGGCTTTTGAAGGATTTGCTCTTATAGTAAATAGAGAATTTATTACTAAAACATAAAAATTTTTGTAATTTTTAGTCTTTGAACAAAGCTTATTTCCTGAGAACTTATCTGTGTAAATGAATATGCCATTTACAAAGTCAAGCAGCCTGATGAACCTAGTAGATTTCTGCCTCACTAAATGGGTATGAAGGGAGAGATAAATCTGAAATTTAGAGAGAAATATGTCCAGTAGGAATAGTTCTGACGCATGTTAACACATAATAGTATAAGACATAGAGAATGTAGGCATTAGAAAAGTTGATTAATATCTGAGCTAATTATATTTTCAGAACATATGTCTCAGGTCAGGATGATATCAAAAGCTTACAGAAGGAAAGTCAAATCTGATGTTTGCTGTTTTAACTGGTGTAGCGAGAGAAGTGATAGTGAAGAAAGCACAGTGGCTTTAGAGACAAAATCCTGCTTTAGTGTTGGTTAGCTGTCTGACCTTGGGAAAGCTACTGAACTCACTTCTGAGTCTCTGTTTCCTTCTATAATAGGTGGATAGCTAATAATGCTTTCTCATTTCTTTGTCCTTCTTCACTGGGGTTCCGATGGCTTTCATCAGGTTATGCAAGTGTCTAGGCTGTTTCGAGGCCTGTTAGCAGAGTGACAGTGATTTGTTCTCTCCTTTATCTTCTAATGTCTGTGAAAGATGTAATGTCTCTGTACCACTTAGACCTGTCGGGTCCTCATTGGGAGGAAACCAGGTTTGATTTTCCTCTCCCAGAAACCAGACAGAAATTTTTTTCTCTTCCTGACCTGTTACCATTATCTCTCCGATTAGGACTTAGTAAATTGAAGAGGTCTTTAGAGGTCTTTATAGCTCAGATCCTTGAGCCCATTGCATGGGTGATCATTTTAGAAACCTTGCTCTAGGAAGAAGTAATTTTTTTTAACTTTTTTTTTTATTTAAAAAAAAAAAATTTTTTTTCAACGTTTTTATGTATTTTTTTGGGACAGAGAGAGACAGAGCATGAACGGGGGAGGGGCAGAGAGAGAGGGAGACACAGAATCGGAAACAGGCTCCAGGCTCCAAGACATCAGCCCAGAGCCTGACGCGGGGCTCGAACTCACGGACCGCGAGATCGTGACCTGGCTGAAGTCGGACGC